GGGGGGGGGGGGGTCGGGGCGGACCACGGGTGCTAAGATCATGGTGCACATGAGGTCGTCCTCCAATGAGTATAAAGAAAAACGTGTCAAACATGGTAAGCAGAGCAACACTGCTGTTGGAGGTTACCAACAGTAGAAGATTTCTCGAGGAAAGCTATTAATTGTGCAACGTGAGCGGTGAGATGAAGACAAGCCACCGAATTTATTCTGCTGTTTGCCTCGGGTGGGTGGTGAATCAGTACGGCTGTCGCCAGTGTCCAGTGCTCAAACGCGCGCCATCTTGGACTCCTTGGGAGCATGGACGTTGCGTGAAGCTCGGCAAAGTCATGGCAGATAGTGGCGCCACTGGTTGGTTGTCTGGGACTAAGTAAATCCAGGCGCGCCTCCCGGGTGCGCGAACACGAGGGACTGAACGATGCACGCACATCGTGCTGTTTTGCGTCCTCCGCTGGTTGATACAAATGATCGCAAAGATAAGACGTAGCACATCGAAGGCTCTGATTTCTTCACCGAGAAATTCGAGCACATGAACAAACCAAATTGTCAATGAATCACCGCTGATGGTGTCGCAGACAGCGGCTCGTCCCCTCTCGCACAGCCTAAAGCGGCGGCGGGGGGACATGCATCCCCTTCGGGCGATATGGCTTCGCCCTGCGACACGCTCACCCTCCTCCTCTTCAGTGTGATACGATTGTCATGCGTTCAGGCGCTCACGCGTTTCTTGCTGTCTATTTAGTGCGTTCTTCACGTCATGTCCCGACAAACGAAAAAAACAAAATGAAATCCAATCCTCGCCGTATGTCATGTTTGCTGTTGTTCCAAGAGAAGAACGCACAGAACGTCTAACGCAGCACTCCCTGATAAGCTTGCCCAAACAAGAAGAGAACGATACGATACGCCATTTGGCAAAGCTCGCCCCCTTCTCTCCACCCGAGCGGCAACGAAAAAAAAAAAAGCACAACTACAAGACCTTGCCAGCCAAAAAGTAGGTATGAGAATGCCGCGCAGCCGAGAAAGTTTCACCGAACCCGACACGCAGCGACAACCACCGCCTCCAGATTATACGAAACCCCACAGCAGCGTGCAGAGAGAACCGCGTTGCTCGCCGCGTCCGGTCCACCGCACTACTGCTAAAGGCACTACCGATCACGTCTTCGGGCAGCCTGCCTCGAGGACACAAAAAGACGCTGCGGACGCCAACAACCTCAGCAGCACTTCAACCCCAACTCCTTGGACCACGGTACAATATTATGTGAGCGTCGTGCGCAAGCAGCAACGGCGAGACCGCCTCTCCTCAATAATATCCCTTCAACTTGTTTTACTACGATTTCTCTACAAGAACCCGTGTTTGGCCACCCTGATCTCAAAGGAACGACGTAGCCGAGATTGTGGAGCACAGCAGTGCAGCAGACACAGCACGCGCAGCAGCGGGGAAACCCTTTGCATACTCCCATTGCCGGCTTGTGTTCTCGCGCAAAAATCAATGCCTGCACATCCACGCCCAGACCACACGCCCCCCCCCTCCCACAGCATCGATGCTATCGTTGGGTTTCAGAATGAGCATTTAACCTCCCGCATGCCCGCCACATTTCCCGCAAAAAAAAAAAAATGCCTCGAGAACCCCCCCCCCCACCTACGTGGAAAAACACCCGGGGGGGGGGGGGGGGGCCCAACAAAAACCCTTCCAAAGACCCAAAAAAAAAAATTAGGGGGGGGCCCCCCCCCCCCCGCCGCTCCCCCCCAGGGGGGGGGGGGCCTAACCACAAAAAATTTTTCCCCACGGCCCCCCGGGCCAAATTCCCGGGAAAAAAAAAAAAACCTGCCCCGGGAGGAATCCCGGGGGGGGGGGGCCCCGGACCCC